TATATACAGGTGTATGTTCAAAGTTAACAACAGGGCATGCATAAGGGCTGGCTGTTCTGCTGTGTTGTGTCACTGCCCCTCTGGGATTAGGAATAGAGAAACCAAAAGTGTATCTTCAGGTGTTAAATATTTAGAGAACAAAGGTGCATATGAATATTTTGAGATTTATTTGTGGGTTTTTTTTTCCCTTGAAGTTGTTTGTAAATCTTCCATGAGTGTAGTCTGAACTGCCAGTGTCGCACTTGCTGAAAGCAGGACATGCTTTGTGCTTCAAATTTGTTTTCTCATCAGGCTAATGGAGGTATTTTTGGTGTGCAGCTATAGATGGATGTGGAGCTAGCATGATACAATGAATAGCTGGTGCACGATAACAGTACTCAAGCGGTCTGTCAATGGCAGAAATGTAATGATATTTTAAGATCTTTATTTGCAATTTAATTTATCTCTAGGGTTTTTCATGTCAGAAATTCCTTGTCCACAACCGCCTGGATGTTGTTTTTTATCTCTTGCTTGTCACATACACTTCAGATCCTCAGACAATGCTGTCTTGAAATGAGAGGACGTGACCAAAAGCATGTTTTTTATTTATATAGCCATAATAACCTGAAAAAAGCAAACAGTGAATGAGAGACAGAAACAGACATTTATATTTTGTGGACAGCACTAACACAGCAAATGCAGGAGCTTAGCTGGAACTACTTGACTGGTTTTCTTCCTGTCTTCTGCAGGCAAAATTTGGTTTTAACAGAAGTGTTTGCATTGGTTCACTTCTGAAAACGTTTGGAGCGACTGCACCCTGTATTGTGAGTCTTTGCCATGGTGCCAAACAGGCTGCCGTAAACAACTTCTTTTCCAAGTAAATATCTGTATTTGCTTGGTACGTTTCTTAACCTTCCCTTTGTCCATGCACTACTTGCCCTTGCACTTTAGTTAGCGTTGCTCTGTCCACACTTGGCCTTTGCCTCTGCACTTGCATACAGTCACACTCTGGGAAGGATGAAGTGTTGAGCGAGTGTTGTCTTCTGCCCTGTGGTGGGATTCTGGAGAGAAGTGACTGGTCTGCACTGGGGCAATGTGGAGACCTTTGCCGTCGTTCTGGGGGGTGCAGCTGAGCTGAGCTGTGTGACAGTGACTGCGCTGGAGGAAGGAGCTGTTTATTAGCCTGGCTGCGCAGTGCAAATGAGAAGATTGATTATAAATAAACTGGGAAAACAGAATCCTTGCTTCATTGAGATGTCTCTTAAAAACGGTTAGCAAGGTCCTGTCTTGTACCAGCTGTCATAGCACTGATTTTTGTAAGCTTTGACTTCTTTTTGCTGTCTTATAACACTCCTTCTTTACACTTACTCTGTGTGCTCTTTTCTATTTGAGCCTTGGCCCTTACTGCATGGGGCTCCTTTTGTGCAAGGAGAGCAAGATGAGGTGTTGAGAGGTCAAAGGACTTGTCTAGAACTGTTCAGCAGAGCCAGGCACTGAACCTTGACTGGTTTCTGCTGCTGGATGGAGAGTAATTGTGACTTGCACCTCCAGGGGAGCTACTTGGCTTCTGCAAGAAAAGACTGAAGCCGTGGGAGTCCTCCTGTGTAGATAGCTACATGTCCCTTGGGTGTTTCCACCAGCCATGACCCACAGAGGCTTGGAGGATGTCAGTGTTTAGATTAGGCTGCGGGGCATCCTTGTGTCGGCTGTGACCTTTCTCTTCTCACCTGGGTTTGAATGAGTCGCTTCTCTTGCTTAGTCTTTTAGTTTTAATGTCAGTATACGCTTGACATGACAGTACATCTTCTAAGAGCACATCTATTACAGATGCCCACTATAGGCCTGTGGACTTCCTTCCACTGTCCCAGCAGACCTTATGTGGCACATTGGAGCATCTGGGCTAAGGGGCTGTGGGGTTGTTGTTATTTTCCCATTCATTTTATGAACAGAAAATGTCTAAAACTAGAGGAGCTTAGCGCAGAGGGATACAGCTGCTGCTGAACAACCTAATGTAGCAATCAAAGGAGAGGCAATGACCTTGGAATTCATTTAAATGACTTTTTCATTGGCCTTGAGAATTTAATGGCAATCCCTACAGGATTATTGAAAGGTAGGATAAATAATCATAGGAGAGATGAATTGATTTGCAGCGTGTAGGTCTGACTTCTAATTCGTATCTTCCCTTTTCTGCAGTGGTAGGTGGAAGCAGGCTGTAGCACACAATAGCAAAATTCTCATAAAGATGGCTGGAGAAGCATTGTTTATCGTGGAAGAAGCTCTTGAGATTCATTGTCCTTCTTTCACATTCAGTTTACTGTGGGGGCTTTTTTTCAAGGCTGGGCATATCATGCTGTCCTCTGTCAGGGGTAGAACAAGCATTGCATGATAAAGATTTGAGGACTTCGGTTTGTATTTTAGTGCCTTTAAAGACCTGATCCCGCTTCCTCTTTATTTTGAGCAGAGAGAGTTAGCTTTGTGGCAGTCGGTAGTGCTGTGTCTGTGTGATGTCCATGAAAGAACTCGGAACAGTGACATTTCATAGTCTGGATATCATTCTCCAAAATATTACTGACATGAATATCAGGTGCTTTGGGTTGGTTTTTATTTCCTGAGCAAAGTATGCCTAGCTTGTTTGGTTGTTTTTTTTTCTCTGCATGGGTTTGTGAAAACTCAGGTTGTTTGATGCTTTTGGTTGATCAGATCTAATATTAATGATTGTGGAATATAGTGTAGATTGTGTGGATACTGTATCTAGAGCACAGTATGAAGCTTTCTGTGGCTCTAGGACACGCTGTGTAAAGCCCACCAAGGTGAAGCTATCCCTACAAAAAAGGGTGGTTTTTTGTACAAATTTGAGCTAGCTAATTCAGAGAGCTTCTCAGGTATCTGAGCTGGGACTCGAGATGCCCTTTGTTTAGAAGTGAAGAGCACAAAATGAATAAAGTTCCCTGCTCCTAAAAGGAGAAATAAATCAACTCGGGCAGGTGTCAAAGGGAACTGTCAGCCCCTTCCACAAAGCCACATGCCTGCAAGTTTTCTGTGGGTGGCAAATAAATCATTTTGCCAGCCTCTTTCGTGCTCTTAACTAAGACAAGCGGTGCTGAGACAGTAACTCTTCCTCAGCCTTTTCCAGCTTCTTCCTGAATTCACCTCTGAAGCTGTCACATCAGGCTCCCAGCTTGGTCGCATGTGCTCCCACCACCATGTAAAACTGAAGCAAAGCTTCCTCCTCCTCCTGAGACCCCCTCCTTCTGCTGCTCCTACTACATTAAAGCATTGGTTTTGCTCAAAAGAAGGAGATGGGGCTTTTTAACTCTGTGATTGCTATGCAAATTACTAAGCAACATGGACCTTAGCTAGTGTTTGAACTGGAGTTCAGTCTGGCATCAACCATTTGGGTATTTGCCATAATTCTCAGGTGGGATTTGCAGTTGTTGTTCAAATGTATCCACCTGGTGTTATAACTGTGCCCTGAAAGTGTTTAATGGTGTGCTGCGATGGTTGGAGCTCTGCTGAAGTCCCTGTTTGCTGTGGTGAAGTTACACCTGGATGTCCTATCGCTTCTTGGCTGCGAACACTCTTTGACTTGTACTTTATAAAACACGGTTGTCTGGTTGAGTTCAGGCTTCGATTTGTGTGTACTGGCTTCGGCAGTCATCCCATTAGAGGGAATCAAAGCACCACTGAGATTCAGAGTCCTTGGTTTATTTTCTTTTAGACAGTGGTGTAAAAATAGCCCCAGCCCTGTTACCCGTACACCTCAGAAACGGCTTTGGCTGAAGCTGCGTTGAAACAGATTTCCAGCCGACGATTCTGATTGTCTGAAGATTTCTGATACAACTTTCAAAAGCTCATCAAAGTCTGGGCTTTCAAACGCCCATTCCAACAATAACAACTGAAGAAAGAAAAGCTGGCTGCTGCTGCAAACGAGGAAAAAGCGCGGCGAGGGATTGCATTGAGATTACACTGCAGCAGGGCAGGCGAATGCAGTGCGTCTGGGTCATGCCACGCGCCTTATTACAGCTCTCCGCATCTCCAGTCTGTGTGCCAGAGCCAGCCCTCGCCCTGCTCGGGTGTCGATCTCCGCCTCTCCATCCCTTTGCTCTGACCCTGCGGGGTCTGCGGTTGTGCTGGTCCCGTGGGGGCAATAGCGGGGCTGCGTGGGGGTGAGGAAGGGGCTGTCCCGGGGCCCAGCATCATGCCGTAGGAGCTGGAGTGTCGTGGCGGGAGCCTCACCTGGTCCTGAAAGTTCAGCTTGCCTGGAAGCAAGTGCACCGACTGAAGGCAGTTTAATTTACACCCAAATAATTTATTTTAAATCTGCTTTTCTCTCTCACGCATTCATTTTACTTTATTGTAATGTCAGCACTTAGCAGTGAAGTAATGGCAGATCTCTGGAGAACTTCGCACGAGCGAGAAAGTACCATTATCTTGGTTTTACAGGCCCTGCTTATGTTGAGAACATATGTGGTGGTGTAATTACACTGATGTGATTAAATCAGTGCAAATCCTTGCTAGAGGGACATGCTGCACCACTGTAAAGCGGGGCTTATTATCAGGGCAGTTTAATTCAAATTACATTACTCAATTAAGCTGTGCTAGTATAAGCCTCGACTTAAAGTCAGGAAGTCACGTGAAGGCCTGTGTTGTTTCTTTTTAAAGCAGATAAAGATTTGGAAACTGAAATGGGTGAGCGTGTGCCTTGCCCAAGAGCGTGCTAGAAGCGATGGGCTTGACAAGTACTGTGTTTATAGTACTTTCTAGGAGGAAAGAGGTGTGTGTGCAAATTCAGGGGTTTTTATTACTATTTTTTAACAGATTAAATTATTTGTTTAAGCTATAGTGACCGCTTCGGAAAAGATCCTAAATCATACTAAGGCTTTACAAATAAATTAAGCAAAATGCATACTAAATTCTAGTAAATCTCTACCACATGGTTTTGGATTTTGATAATGGCTGGATGGGTCAGTGAATAACCATGGCGTGTACAATTTAATTGGATTTTTTTTTTTTTTTGGCAGGGTGTGGGCACTGTAAGAAAATGAAGCCAGAATATGAGAAGGCTGCAGAGTTTCTCCATGTAGCCAATGATGTAAGTTAATTTCCTTTATTATATCCTTCAAATAATCAGTAATAAATAACTGGAGTAATAAAAGTGACTTTTCTCCCTACAACAAATTCAGCTGTTCTCATCCTCCCACAGGACCCTTCAAAATGTGCTTCCAAAGTACAGTCTCATCGCTAATGCATGAGCCCTGCCAAAGTCTTAGAAAGAACATTCTGTCTTGAACGAAAACAAAATCGAAAAATGTTTATGTATTCTGCTGTAGGCCTTATACATAATATGATCAAATCCAAAATGGAATTTTTTTCCCCTTACTTAAAGGCATCGAATGTGAAGAAACATAGGCTTTTATTTATGAATTAGATTTGGAAAAAAACAAAGGGGGTTGATCCCTCTTTCAAATACCCTGGTTTTATGGTTGCATCACTCCATTAGCTTCATCTTAAGTGCTCCATCAGCATGGCTGGAGAAGAGAGATCCAATAATATAAGTATTAGTGTTATTGATTCAGTCTCAGGCTGTGTACACCATGCAAAAGAGAAGTAGAATTAGTCTCCCCCATACTTTTAGCATCTTTGGTAGAGACATCTAGAGTCCTTTTGTAGTTGTTGGAGAAGAAGGAGGGGATCAGAAAAACAAAGATCAGATGAATCACACTCTACAAGTGTCTGTTCTCCTGTGATTCTAAAGGTGGTCCATGTAAAGATGCCTGCAAGTTAAGGAAAGATGAATTTGCCTTGAAGTAAACTTGTCTCTAACAACACTCGTTTCTTCTGGGAGAAACTGGGATTTGTGGGAGGTAGCGCCATTCCCAGGAACAGTTCTTAAGCATTATGAAGTGAGTTACATACAGGGAATCCTGTCAGAAATGGGAGGAGAACAGGTAGCAACTCTAGTTACATGTAGTCCATAAGATCTCCCTTCCTGGTTTTGCATCATTCCTCTCTGTCTTTCTGTGTGTCTGTGCTGAGTACCTGAGAAAGGGAAGGCACTGAAATTGTGAGTGATTGTCCCCAAGTCCACTGTTTCCTGCCAAAGGGGTGTGCATAGTTGCTGGGATTTACAGTTAGTCGTCTCTGTTTTAGAGTCCAGGTGTCCTTGCAGCAGTTGATGCTACCGTCAACAAGGCACTGGCAGAAAGATATCACATCTCCGGGTTTCCTACTTTGAAGTATTTTAAGGATGGAGAGGAGAAATACACTCTGCCACACCTCAGAACAAAGAAGAAGATCATCGACTGGCTGCAGAAGTAAGTTTTGAGGGTTTGAGATAATATTCGGGTTCCTGATTAGAGGCTCCTGAAGACTGTTTTGGTGAGGAAGTAAATCTTAAACTTAGCTTCATCGACTGCCTAAATCCCTTGCTAACAAAAACAAATTGAATTCCAGTATTCAAAGCCATACAAACATGTATGTTAATTATGGTCTCTAATACACCAAATCCTTTATTTGCTGCTGGGTTTTTCATAGTTGTCCTGGTAATTCTTTCCCAAAATAAATATTTTTTGAATGTACCCTAAGCCTCTCACCAGAGAAGGAATAGCAATGGCTCTGAAAAATAAACAGAACATTTGTTGTTCTCTCTAAGCAGCAGATTTCACTGTTAGTAAGTGAATTTCTGTAGTTGTACTTTTCTCTTTCCAGCATTTCAGAGCCAATGCCTAGAATACCAGCTACGTGGGGCTGAGGGAAAGCCAGCAAGACCAGCAAACCCAGCATCTTTGTCTGCACTAACCAACTTTTCTTGGGTGGTGTGCTAAAATATGTAGAATGAAGTTTGATGTATGATGAAAATAATTTCATTTCAAAGAAGTAAATTGTTGTTACAATTCTCTCTTTAAGTATTCTGGAATAAAAAATGCATTTCCTTCTGCATTATTCAATGGGAAAAAAACCTGCCAGTGTTTTGTGAAGTTTTTAAATCATTTAACTGTTAAGTGCAGTTGGTGTGAGTTTAAGTTTCTCCTCTTATTTGGTAGGGGCAAGGGGGGGGTTGTGTGTGCGTTTTTTGATTGTGGGGTGGTTTTTTTTTTCTTTTCTTTTTAAATTACATCTCCGAGCGCTTAAAATCAGGTAATAGATATGGTCTGGCAGCATCTTTGTAGTGGGAAGTTTTATCTGTATTTTACATTTGAACACAGAACTCCCTTGGCCTCCCTGCATACTTGGGCTCCTGGCTGTTGTCTCAATACTAGGTGTTAAGTCACTGTACTAGTTTCACCAGTTTGCTGGAGCATTTCGAGCGCTACGTAATTTATATTGAGTTAAGCAGTCAGGTTGACGCTGCCTGTACATATTGGCAGGTGAAGAGGCAATGAGGAAGCGGGAAGGGGTGTTAAGCCCTTCTGTCTGGATCCTGCTGTGCCTCTGGAAGACTTTTGTCTGCAGCCTCAGGTAGTCAGCAACACGGGGGAAACCCAGACAACTTGTCTCCTGCTCTTGAGAGTTGGAAGTTCTCCCAACTAGAAATGCAATAGAGTAAGATCCGTGTTTGCTGACCAGAGATAAAACTGTCACAGCTGCACTGAAGTTGGTGGAAATAGGGATGCATCTGGGGCGCAGGCTGGAGATAAAAGTACCATGACACTTGTGTAAACCTACCCCAATGAGTGGTCTAGTCACAGCCATGTGGGTTTCGGCTCTGGTGCCTCTGTGGTGACTGTAGTCTGTGCTGCCACACTAGGCTGTTACCAGTATCTGCGTATCTTATTTCAGGTCAGTATGGGAAGATCTGTGTCAGATGAAGTCACACCTCTGACTGTAACTGTAATCGATGATAGCTCGCACCTACTGTGTTCGTGTGAAAATTCAGACCAGCTGCCCTAATTCTTTTCCTAACAACTGGAAAACCAGTATTGATGGAAATGCAACAGATGTCCATCAAGTGACCTTGAGTAGGACTTTAAAAATGAAGTTTTTTCTCCACTTGGTTTTTACATACTTGATACAACTTAAAATGGTGTCATTCAAAGTGACAGGAAAGTCTGAAAAGCTAATTTATTACCAAGGCGACATATGAAGGTCTTTATACTGTGGCACCATTCTGATGATTTTATATAAGTAATCACTATTTAAGATACAGCAGTTTTTGGAATGAATTTAATGAGTCTGAGAGAAGTCTGTGAGCTGGTGAATAGCAAAAGTTTTGTCAGAGGCGCTCTAGATGTGCGGGATTGCTCTGATCTAGTCAGTATGTGCAGTCATAATTGAAACCTGACATTCTCTTTATCAAGATAAAATATTCCAATTCGGTCACCCCCAGTCTTCCAAGTGGAACGATGCTGATTATTGCATCCTGGCTTTAATATCTGAATTCAAGAGAAGGTCATGAAATTCTTTATAGAAGTTTGCATGATAGTGATAAAGAGTACAAAAAGGATGTTTGAATGGAAGATGCTGTTCTATATCGGTTGCCTTTTGATTCCACCTGCTTGCTGTTCTTCTCAGTTCATGCCTATGGATGACGCAGTGATAAAGAGCAATGTTCTTTCCACCCAGATGTTGGATACAATGTAGGAAATCTTTATTCTGCATTCTTACTTGTACGCCTGAGTACAGTCACTTAAATTATATTTTTATTGAGTTACAGAAATTAACTTGCATCTTTTTTGTTGTTATCTGGTGTTGGAAATATCAAACACTTTTTTCTACTGCACAGGCACCCTGAAGGATTGTTTGACCTCAGTTCCCTCATGGTAGTTATGACCAGTGATGCCCCTTTGGCTGCTTCCAGAAACATTTTCAAACCAATCGCGTTTCCTTCCTTTTGTAGTCCTGAAGCACCACCTCCACCTGAGCCTGCATGGGAAGAAAAACAGACTAGCGTTATCCACCTTGCTGGAGAAGACTTCAGGGAGTCCTTGAAGAAGAAGAAGCACACCCTTGTCATGTTCTATGCGCCATGTGAGTAAATACCTCTCTGTGTGAATGGGTTTTATAAACTCTACAGTTTATGAAATCCTGAATTAATTCCCTTTCTGTCCCCAGACTTTTAAGGGTAAAGAGCTGATTCTGAATATGAATGCATGGGACCATCATTGGCACCATTGTTTGTATCTTTAGAAACGGATACAAAACGGTATACAGTGTTTATTTAAAGAGTTATTCTGTTAATGCAGACACCAAAGCAGGCAGGGGTGCATAACAAAACAGATTTATTTTCCTCTGCTGTATTTTATGGTCCGTATAACAAAATGTGATCCTTTATAGTAGCATAATGGACATGGAGAGCCTGACTCATTAGTGCAGCACTTCAGTACTGAAATCAATATAGTGGTGTAGGAGGAATCAGTCCCGAGAGCCTGAGAACAAATTTTGATGGAATAAATTTTGTCTGTATTACATCTACATTTAAATCTCCACTGGGAATATGCGCATAGCTTCCTCCTCCCAGATTGTTTTGCGTGCATCATGCACATGCTTTCTTTTTGAAGCTCCTGAGAATATTTCTAGAGAAGTTTTGAATCTGGCCCTTTATAAATTAGGTGGATGGGAGGGACCTCTTCACTTTTCCTGTCTTGTCCCAGAGACAAGCAGGCTTGGTACAGGTTCTTAACTTTTCAGGGCTGTGTCAAAGGGAGAAGATAATCCTGGCACTTAATATTAGATAGTATTAACTTGCTTTTATAGCACCGTGACTCAGCCCCCGAGATGCAAGAAAAATTCTTCCCTATCACATGGCCAGCCCTGCAACTCAGGGATAACCTGCAGATAAGCAGTTACTAACTTGTTCCCATTAAACTGAAGGTATTTTCCAGAAATGAAGAAAAGTTTAGGTCCTTAATGTTTAATCAGGCAGCCCTTTATTTTGCTTTTCTGTTAGAGAATTAAACATGAATGCTTTTGGGCTCCCACGAAGCCCTGCTGGATGTGAGATGTGGGAGAAGGGAGGGGTGCAATTCAGAAGGGAGATTTCTGGAAGGTTGTAAAAGAAAAGGGAAGGGGACTTAATCCCTTCTCAACTTCAGTTCCCACCACCTATTGACTAAAAATTGCCCATGTGCCAGGAATTTCTGATTCAGGGACCTCAACTGGTTAAGAGCAAGCCGTAACTTTAAAATCAAATGATTGCACATGAAATAGTAAGATTTAGGAGTTTGCCATCTCTTGAGTTCCCTTTACTCAATGAGTGACTTTCTGTGGAAGAAAGAGATTTATTTCCCTTTTGGTTTTTAGCTGCATTTTTTTTTAAGGCACTAAAATTCTTTGTCTTTTTTAAGGCCATGTTTAAAGCAAAGACACTACGTGCAATGAGTATGTGGCTCTCAGGGTTGAAAGCATGAGGCAACTTGCGCGATTTATTGGATAATTATACTACCATTGTTTGCGGGTTGACTTCTAGCCTTATTCCAGGACCCTGGCCCTGTCTGTACAGATGGGCTGTAAAAGCAGGGCTTGCCTGATGCAAGACTGTTGGGTCCTTTAAGGCTGCCCTTCAGACACATTCTCCTTGCACCGTTTGGATACGGTGCTTCGTGACACCACCTATATACAGGACAGAGAGGTGTTAACTGGAATCACTTCTGGCCTTCCTGTGACTCCTAGGACAGTCAGCGTTGCTGTTGTGTTGTCAGTATGTGGGTCATGCACAGTTTCTGATTTGTCAGATTTGTTCTCTCTAAATGTGGAAGTGTCTGTGGGAAAAGCAGAAAGCAGGTGCACAAAGGGAGTGCGATGAGCCTGGCCTTTGTTGGGTGCAGGGGAAAGTAACAGATGAATATTTTAAATCTTTGGTTTCTGTGAAACAATCATTAATGCAATAGAATGGTACAAAACGGTACAAACCATTCTATTCTGCTTTTCTGCAGTGATAATGTGCCTCCTGCTAAATTTGATAGATTAGCTTTTGTTTACCATTTTCTCAATCTTGAGACCTCTTGGAGCTTACATTGCCAATTAGTCTTAACTTGCTTATTTTAGTGCAGAAGGAACACTGCTAAAATTGCCAGGCCCCGTTATCTCAAATAATTTTCTTTTTCTATTCGGATCCACATCTTAGGTCAGTGCAGACTCACAGTATGTTACTCCATTCACTTGTGACTCTATGGCAGTATTTGTTACACTTACACATATGCTGAGATATTTTAAGATTGGGGGTGTGTGTATACATGCATATATAAAGTATGTTTATATAAAAATATTTATGCTAAGAAATGTATCTCTCATCTGTCATTAGAATTTAAAGCAGAAAGTTGAATATTCTGACCTTTGTAAAGCTTTCAGCTAGAGTGACAAACGTTTAGGCAAAGGCCACAGATATATATCTTACATGCAAATTAAAATGAGAACTGGATTTTCTGAGGCAGCTTCCAGTCCAAATTACTTAATATGTATAGGAGAACCATCAATCTGCTGCTATGCCGATAAGTCTGGACTGAGCTGAGTGGTGCTTTAATGGTACTGAACAGTGCTTCACAGTGATTTAGCTCTGGAAGAGAAGACTGCTACATCCACATGGAAAAGAAGGGGAACTCATTACTCTATCACCCTGAATGTGGGTGAAGCATAAAGGTTATTCCTGGTGCCCGTGGAATATTTTAAGGACTGAGAATCAGAATCAAAACTTTTGAAATTACTGGGAAAAAAATCCACTCCTGCGGACTTCACGCGCACAGAGAGTGATCTTCTTGATTTCACGTTCCCGTTCCTCCCCAGTGGTATCTCTGTGCACTGTCACGACTAATTTGGGGTAGAAGGCAGCAGTAGGGGCAGGTCCCCAGTACTGACTTGGGGCAAAAGTGCCAGCTGCAGAAGAGCTAATGCTACTTGTGCCAACAACTGCCTTGGACCTGATCTTCATCCAGGTGTCCATTGGATATATCTGTACCCTGTGTGGCCACTATACCATGCAGGCTTGCGGTGCGGGCTGGCACTCATCGGTGCTTCCCAGGGCTAGCACTTGGAGCAGACTGCTGGCATCTGTGCTGCACAGCACCTGGCACAGCTCTTCTCTGGACCCTTGTGGGGCTCTTGTGGTCCTAAAATGTAATTGTCATCTTGCTTCCTTATCTCTGAGTTCAAAATGCCTAAAATAAGAGGAGGACAGTGGTCCAGTCTGCTGAAGCAAAGCATGATGCTACAGGTGTATGTTGTTTGAGGAGCATTTGAAAGCAGTAGGCTTATTGCACCAGCATTTGAGAGGCATTTGGGGAGGGTTTATGGCATCTGTGTCTATGTTATCTCCATAGACCAGTCCTTGGAGTACTGGATACCATCAACTACTCCAGGTTTCCTTTTGTAACTGCTTGGCTTCATCCAGGAATGGGAAGAGGAGACAACTAGTCTGAGTATGGTTTGGTGTACACACGTAGCCTGGTGTGTGGATGGTCAGGATTTGGGGGGCTATGGACCAAATCGGGAAGTGAGCCAAATGGACAAGAATAAATCCAGCCTAGCCCAGTTAGACTGCAGTGCTTAACCAGCTATGGCCAGAAGTACACTAGCTGCGTGTCTGCGGTGTACATCCAGGGCTTGTTTCAAGACTTGCAGCATTAAATGCCTAGTGTCCTGGACTGACCAGTTTGCATCAGTGCCTCTTCTGGGATCAACACACTGACTTTTCTTCTTTCTCTCATGTCCTCACTGTTTGTTCATATAGCTGATCTGAATGTGTTTTATCTGCATTTTTTCTTTTATGTGTTCTCTCCACTCCGTTATCCCAGATAATTGAGATTTGACTTTGCCAGTGCATTAAATTTTAACCTCCTCCTACTATGGCACTGAAAACTGTGCAAAATAGAAGCAGTTGGTTGTGATTAGTTGTCAGAATCACAAAGGGCAACAAAGTTCCAGTAAATAATATGTCTTCGCAGTTGGAAGTGGTTTTGCTGCATTATTCAAACTGAATTAAGGGGAAAAAAAATGTGATTGAAGCTAGGCGAGCATTTTTCAGTGAGATGGGGAGATGCTGACAGTTCTTCAAGAGTGTATTGTGGTTTTTTAACCTAAATTTCCGTCTGGAGAAGCCTTTGGAATCCTATATGGAATTTCTTGTCAAGCCAGTGCAAAGACCCATACCAAATTAATGACCATCATATTCTCTAACTAAAACTCACATGGTTCCCTCTTCCGCCTTGTGTGTCCCTGGGTTTTAATATGTGTCGACGTTTGGTCCTGGTTTACCTCAAACCAGGACAATAGGCCTTTTTGATGTCATAATTTGGTGACATGACCATCAAGTTTTGGCTGTTCTTGGGTGATGCTCCCTCAAATTTATGCTAGGTCTTTTCTGTTCTTGTAGAAACAATTCAGAGCTGGGGACACAGACACTGTAGATGGGCATCTTTGATTGCATTAGGGCATCACCAGCAGGTCAAGGGAGCTGATCCTTTCCCTCTACTCAGCACTGTTGCGACACAATTGGATTGCTGTGTCCAGTTCTGGACTCCCCAGTTCAGAAAGGACGTTGACAAACTGGAGCGGATCCAGTGAAGGGCCACGAGGGTGATTAAGGGTCTGGAGCACCTGACATGGAGGAGAGGCTGAGAGAGCTGGGACTGTTCAGCCTGGGGAAGAGGAGGGTCAGGAGGAACTTCTCAGTATGCCTAAGTGCCTAATGTGGGGGGTAAAGAAGACAGAGCCAGACTCTTCTCTGCAGTGCCCAGGGACAGGAAAAGAGGCAATGGGCACAAATAAAAAAACACAGGAAAATTTTGCTTAAACAGAAGAGGAAGTGTTTGTTTTTTTTTTTTTTTACTGTGGCAGTGGTTGAACATTGGAACAGGCTGACCAGAGAGGGTGTGGAATCCAAGGATGGCCTTGGAGATATTCAAAACCCAACTGGACACAGTGCAGGCCAACCTGCTCTAGTTGACCCTGTTTTGAGCAGGGGAGTTGGACTAGATGATCTCCGGAAGGGCCTTCCAACCACAGCAGGCTGTGTTTCTAGGCATAGTAACCCTGGA